TGTGGCTTATGGAGCATTAGAACGCAGTTCATACGGTTCATAAAGTGGTTTATGGGGCTTCAGAACGCGGTTTATGGGCTCCAGAGCACGGTAAATAGGTTCCAGAATACATTTCGTTGGCTCAGAACGCAGTTTCTGTGGCATTAAAATGCGGTTTATAGGGTTCAGAACGCGGGCTATGGGGCCCCAGAGCTCAGTATAGGGCCCCAGAATGCGGCTTATAGGATCCCACAATGCTGCTTATAGGATTCCAGAATGCGGGTTACAAGGCCTCAGAACGCGGTTAATAGGATCTCAGGGTGTAATTTATTGGGCCCTAGTGGGCGGTTTGTAAAGGCCCGGGACCGCGGCTCATTGGGCTCAGAACTCCGTTTTGTAGGGTCCCAGAACTCCATTTGTTGGGCCCCAGAACTCTGTTTGTAGGGCCCCAGAGGTCCATTTGTAGAACCCCAGAACGCGGTTTATGTAGTCAGAAATTGCCGTTTATGGGGCTACAGAACGCGGTTTATGGACTCTAAAACGTGTTTTATAGGCCCTAGAACTCAGATTATGGGCCCTAGGATATGGCTTATGGGGCATTAGAATGTAATTTATAGGATTCAGAATGCAGTTGAATGGGGCTTGGAACGCGGTTTATGGGCTCTAAAACGTGTTTTATGGACTCTAGAACGCAAATTAGGGGCCCCAGGATATGGCTTATGGGGCATCAGAACGTAACTTATAGGGTTCAGAATACGGTTGTATGGGGCTAGGAACCCGGCTTATGGGCTCCAAAATATTGTTTGTGCCCCCAGAACGCAGTTTGTGGGCTCAGATCGTGGTTTATAGGGAGCTCCACAACCCGGTTCATAGTAGGCGGTTTGTAAGGACCTCAGAACGAAGTTGATTGGGCCCCAGAACGTCGTTTGTAGAGCCCCAGAACAACGTTTGTAGTGCCCCAGAACGCAGTTCAAGTGAACCCAGAACGCTTCTTATAAGGCCCGAGTAGACGACTCCTATACGGTCCCAGGTCCCAGAACGCGCCTTATAGAGCCACAAAGCGAGGTTTATAGCACTACAGAATGCAGAACGTATTCTTTAGGGCTTCAGAATGCGGTTTATGGGCCCCAGAACGCAGGTTGTGGACTCCGGGTATCAGAACGCCGTGTATACGGTTCAGAACGCGGTTAATGGGGCCTTAGAACACGGTTTATGGGCTCCAAAACATAGTTTATAGGCCCCACAACGCAGTTTGTGGGCCTAGAACGCAGTTTCGGGGGCACCAGAATGCGGTGTACATGGTCTCGGAGTGTGATCTCACAGTAGGCGGTTTGTAAGGGTCTCAGAGCGTGGTTTGTGGGGCCCAAGAATTCAGTTTATGTGGGCCCAGAACGCTACTTCTAGGGCCCCAGAACGTGTTTTTTAGAGCCACAAAATGAGCTATATAAGGGCTCAAGGATGCAGAAGGCGGCTATTAGGATCTCAGAACGCGGCTTAAACGTGGTTTATGGACCCCATCATGGAGTTTGTGGGCTTCAGAACAGCTTCTGAGGCACCAGAATGCGGTTTATAGGCTCCAAAACATAGTTTATGGGCCCCACAACGCAGTTTGTGGGCCTAGAACGCGGTTTCGGGGGCACAAGAATGCGGTGTACATGGTCTCGGAGTGTGATCTCACAGTAGGCGGTTTGTAAAGGTCTCAGAGCGTGGTTTGTAGGGCAGAAGAATTCAGTTTATGTGGGCCCAGAACGCTACTTCTAGGGCCCCAGAACGTGTTTTTTAGAGCCACAAAATGAGCTATATAAGGGCTCCAGGATGCAGAAGGCGGCTATTAGGACCTCAGAACGCGGCTTAAACGTGGTTTATGGACCCCATCATGCAGTTTGTGGGCTTCAGAACAGCTTCTGAGGCACCAGAATGCGGTTTATAGGCTCCAAAACATAGTTTATGGGCCCCACAACGCAGTTTGTGGGCCTAGAACGCGGTTTCGGGGGCACCAGAATGCGGTGTACATGGTCTCGGAGTGTGATCTCACAGTAGGCGGTTTGTAAGGGTCCCAGAGCGTGGTTTGTAGTGCCCAAGAATTCAGTTTATGTGGTCCCAGAACGCTACTACTAGGGCCCCAGGACGTAGTTTTTAGAGCCACAAAATGAGCTATATAAGGGCTCCAGGATGCAGAAGGCGGCTATTAGGACCTCAGAACGCGGCTTATGGGCTCTAAAACGTAGTTTGTACGACCCCATCATGCAGTTTGTGGGCCTCAGAACGCGGTTTCTGGGGCACCAGAATGCGGTGTACAGGGCCTCGGAGTGTGATCTTACAGTAGGCGGTTTGTAAGGGTCTCAGAGCGTGGTTTGTAGTGCCCAAGTATTCAGTTTTGTGGGCTCAGAACGCTACTTCTAGGGCCCCAGGACGTGGTTTTTAGAGCCACAAAATGAGCTATATAAGGGCCCCAGGATGCAGAAGGCGGCTATTAGGACCTCAGAAAGTGGCTTATAGGCTCTAAAACGTCGTTTATGGACCCGATCATGCAGTTTGTGGGCCTCAGAACGCGGTTTCTGGGGCACCAGAATGCGGTGTACAGGGCCTCGGAGTGTGATCTTACAGTAGGCGGTTTGTAAGGGTCTCAGAGCGTGGTTTGTAGTGCCCAAGTATTCAGTTTTGTGGGCTCAGAACGCTACTTCTAGGGCCCCAGGACGTGGTTTTTAGAGCCACAAAATGAGCTATATAAGGGCCCCAGGATGCAGAAGGCGGCTATTAGGACCTCAGAAAGTGGCTTATAGGCTCTAAAACGTCGTTTATGGACCCGATCATGCAGTTTGTGGGCCTCAGAACGCGGTTTCTGGGGCACCAGAATGCGGTGTACAGGGCCTCGGAGTGTGATCTTACAGTAGGCGGTTTGTAAGGGTCTCAGAGCGTGGTTTGTAGTGCCCAAGTATTCAGTTTTGTGGGCTCAGAACGCTACTTCTAGGGCCCCACGACGTGGTTTTTAGAGCCACAAAATGAGCTATAGAAGGGCCCCAGGATGCAGAAGGCGGCTATTAGGACCTCAGAAAAGTGGCTTATAGGCTCTAAAACGTCGTTTATGGACCCGATCATGCAGATGTGGGCCTCAGAACAGCTTCTGAGGCACCAGAATGCGGTTTATATGCTCCAAAACATAGTTTATGGGCCCCACAACGCAGTTTGTGGGTCCAAAGCGGTTTCTGGGGTACCAGAATGCGGTGTACAGGGCCTCGGAGTGTGATCTGACAGTAGGCGGTTTGTAAGGGTCTCAGAACGTGGTTGGTGTGCCCAAGATTCAGTTCATGTGGGCCCAGAACGCTACTTCTAGGGTCCCAGAACGTGTTTTTTAGAGCCACACAATGAGCGATATAAAGGCTCCAGGATGCAGAAGGCGGCTATTAGGACCTCAGAACGAGGCTTAAACGTGGTTTATGGACCCCATCATGCAGTTTGTGGGCCTCAGAATAGCTTCTGAGGCGCCAGAATGCGGTTTATAGGCTCAAAAACATAGTTTATGGGCCCCACAGCGCAGTTTGTGGGCCCAGAACGCGGTTTCTGGGGCACCAGAATGCGGTGTACAGGGCCTCGGAGTGTGATCTCACAGTAGGCGGTTTGTAAGGGTCTCAGTGCGTGGGTTGTAGTGCCGAAGAATGCAGTTTATGTAGCCCCAGAATGCTACTTCTATGGCCCCAGAATGTTTTTTTAGAGCCACAAAATGAGCTGTATAAAGGCTCCAGGATGCAGAAGGAGGCTTTTAGGGCCTCGGAACGCGGCTTAAACGTGGTTTATGGACCCCATCATGCAGTTTGTGGGCCTCACAACAGCTTCTGAGGCACCAGAATGCGGGTTATAGGCTCCAAAACATAGTTTATGGGCCTAACAACGCAGTTTGTGGGCCCCGAACGCGGTTTCTGGGGCGCCAGAATGCGGTGTACAGGGCCTCGGAGTGTGATCTCACAGTAGGCGGTTTGTAAGGGTCTCAGTGCGTGGGTTGTAGTGCCGAAGAATGCAGTTTATGTAGCCCCAGAATGCTACTTCTATGGCCCCAGAATGTTTTTTTAGAGCCACAAAATGAGCTGTATAAAGGCTCCAGGATGCAGAAGGAGGCTTTTAGGGCCTCGGAACGCGGCTTAAACGTGGTTTATGGACCCCATCATGCAGTTTGTGGGCCTCACAACAGCTTCTGAGGCACCAGAATGCGGGTTATAGGCTCCAAAACATAGTTTATGGGCCTAACAACGCAGTTTGTGGGCCCCGAACGCGGTTTCTGGGGCGCCAGAATGCGGTGTACAGGGCCTCGGAGTGTGATCTCACAGTAGGCGGTTTGTAAGGGTCTCAGAGCGTGGTTTGTAGGTCCCAAGAATTCAGTTTATGGTGGGCCCAGAACGCTACTTTTAGTGCCCCAGAACGTGTTTTTTAGAGCCACACAATGAGCGATATAAAGGCTCCAGGATGCAGAAGGCGGCTTTTAGGACCTCAGAACGCGGCTTATGGGCTCTAAAACGTCGTTTATGGACCCGATCATGCAGATGTGGGCCTCAGAACAGCTTCTGAGGCACCAGAATGCGGTTTATAAGCTCCAAAACATAGTTTATTGGCCGCAGCATGCAGTTTGTGGGCCCAGAACGCGGTTTCTGGGCCACCAGAAAGCGGAGTACAGGGCCTCTAAAACGTCGTTTATGGACCCCAGCTTGCAGTTTGTGGGCTTCAAAACAGCTTCTGGGGCACCAGAATGCGATTTATAGGGTTCGGAATGTGGTTTATAGGGCCCCAGGCGGCGGGTTATAGGGCCCTAGATAGCGTTTTTCAGGGCCTCAGAGTGTGATTTATTGTGTCTCAGTTGGCGGTTTGTAAGGGCCCCAGAACGCGGTTTATTTGGCCTCAGAACGTGGTTTCTAAACCACAGAACGCGGTTTTTGGGGCATCCACTATAACAGGAGCCCCAGGAATTTGTGCTTCGGGTTCCCGAGATTCTAGACCCACCATTGCATATTCTTATCAGAAAATATACAAACCTGTAAAAATTCGTCGAGCTGCATCCTTTGTCCATGCCAGTAGAGCAGTTCGTCGACGTATCCGACAAGAAAGATGGCCGCCACGATGCCAGATATCACCAGACCAATCACCAGCAACGAGAAGATGATCGACCACCAATTGTGGCCTTCTTCTTCGTGTAATGCTAGCTCCTGTCAAATCAACAAACGTACTCATGTTAGTATTCGATGTCTCTTATCTATACTGTCTTCTTTCAACAGAAGATAAAATAAAACATTAGATTGTAATTTGTAAAAACAATTCGATAAAATTTTTCATTCAGTAATCAAATAGATCTTTACGTTTTTGTATTTTGCGCCAAGTTTTAGTTTGACACGATATATGCATACAAAATACGTTGGAATAGCTATTAATCATGGTTCGAGATGATTGCTGTCACGCTTCTGTCATCTTCACACCTCTAACAGATGTTTATTTTGCTCTGTTTCCATTCGTTGTGCTAGCGGGAGATTGTTGATGATTCCCGATAGGAATAAAACGGCGCCGTACATATCACTGATCAACAGCCGAAAAATATCCTAAATAAAATCAGCAAAATATTACTATTTTTAATGTGCTAAAACCGGAATGAAACTTATTTTTTCAATATTAGTTCAAGTTTTAGAGATACGGTAATTATATGTGTTCCTGCTGTGACAGTGTTAATATACTGTAATTCACAAGAATGCACGTGCTACATTTTTATATTCGGCAAGGAAAGATGATGTAATCGGCATGATTGTGTTACGTTATACATACGTGTACATTATATTGTTTTATATTAGCCATTTTTTCCTCAGTCGGCTGACAGCGTTCATGCAAGATGTCTTGAAAGTGTGTAAACTATCCAGATCAGTTTGGTTACGTGTGTGGTGATGTGACTTTTGCGTCTCAGAGACGGTCTATTACTCCACTAAGAACAAAGGCATATCAGCTTTATTTCGGTTGTAAACTAGGTGATCAAGACAAACAGTGGGCACCCCACATCTGCTGTAATACATGTGCTTCAAGTCTGAGGAGCTGGTTAAATGGCAAAAAACGGTCTATGCGCTTTGCTGTCCCAATGGTTTGGAGAGAGCCTACAAATCATATTAATGATTGTTACTTTTGCATGGTACCTTGTGTTGGACAAGCCACAGGTATGTCCAAGAAAAAAAAAATCGGTTATTAACTACCCAAACATACCATCTGCGATGAGACCTGTGCCTCACAGTGACGAAAATCCTATTCCAAAACCCCCAGAATCCTACACTTGCGAATCAGAAAACGAATCAGATCAGGGCGATCGAGTGATTCGTCAGGAAGAAGATATGCCATCAACGTCAAGAGATCCTGATTTTATACCGAGCACGTCATGCCACCAACCGCACAAAATAACACAGTCAGAATTAAATGATCTTGTAAGAGATTTAGAACTTCCAAAATGTAAGGCAGAGTTACTTGGATCAAGACTGCAGCAGTGGAACTTGTTAGAAGACGATGTTCCGGTATGTGTTTTTCGTAAACGCCACAAAGACTTAGAACCATTTTTCAATATGGAGAATAACTTGGTTTTCTGCAGTAACATTAACGGCTTACTGGCGGCTTTAAATATAAACTATAACCCAGAAGAATGGAGATTGTTTATAGACAGTTCAACATTGAGTTTAAAGGCAGTGTTATTGCATATTGGAAATATTTTACCACCTCTTTTTGTAGGGTATGCAGTTCACATGAAAGAATCATATGACAATATGAAGTACCTATTGACAAGCATAAAATACGATGAGCACCAATAGCATATTTGTGGCGATTTGAAAGTTGTTGCACTTTTACTTGCGCTGCAGCTAGGCTACACAAAGTTTTGCTGTTTTTTGTGTGAATGGGACAGTCGGGCAAAGGCACTTCATTACCCCAGATAAAACTGGCCTGTTCGTCAATTCCTAGAGCCAGGTCAAAAAAATGTACCATTAGTAGATTCGAAAAAAAAATTATCACCACCACTGCATATCAAGTTGGGCCTAATGAAAAACTTTGTCAAGGCATTAGATAGAGATGGGTCAGCTTTTCAATACCTGCGTCAGAAATTTCCAAGACTAAGTGAGGCAAAGGTTAAAGAAGGTATTTTTGTTGGGTCACAGATTCGAAATATTTTGAAAGATACACAGTTTGAAAACACTTTAACAGGTATTGAAAAAACTGCTTGGAATGATTTCCGTCTGGTGGTCACTAATTTCTTGGGAAATAGAAAAGCTGACAACTATAAAACCCTTGTCAAAAATATGCTGTCATCGTATCAAAAGATGGGCTGTAATATGTCTCTTAAGATACATTTCCTACACTCACACCTGGACTTTTTTCCTGACAATTGCGGAGCCGTAAGTGATGAGCACGGCGAACGTTTTCATCAGGATATTTCAACAATGGAAAAAAGGTACCAGGGAAAGTGGAATCCTTCCATGCTTGCAGACTACTGTTGGACTCTTGGTAGAGATGCTCCAGAAACGATCCATAAAAGAACAGCAAAAAGACAGCGCATATAGTGATTCTTATAAGTATATGAATCTTGTTACTTTTTTAATATATCCTTAAAGTAAAAAGTTTTTTTCTAAACCGCAACTAATTTTTTTATTTCATTGTTATTTTTGGATTCAGCGCCCCAAAATTAACAAAGAAGTGCACTTTTCCCACAAGATACAATTAAAAAACTAAAATTTGTTGTCCAGTTGGTGGGACCATTGGTGTCGGATTGCCGCTTGCTTCTTCATTGATTAATTAAATGTTTAGCATCTTACCTATCATGAAAACTAAGGTCACGTTTGTCTACAGTCGCTTCGATTTAACTATAAACGCAGTTAACGCAGAGGGTATTTGATACCGATATGCTTTGACTTTGGCATAAAATGGTTGCAGTTTGAGATTCCAAAAACACCACTCTTAAAAATAATATTTTGCTAATATAGATGATCATCAAATTGTAAGCAAACCGAATGTAACATACAGGGTGTTTCAGTTTATTGTTGCATAACCTTAAGATTCGATAGAACCTTTAAAATTAATGCATAAATATGGGTCGAAAAATGCGTGGCTTCCGAAATACAGGGTGTTTAAATTTATTTTCTAAAATAGTTTTTTTTAAATATTTCGAACAATATTTGATGTATAACAGTGAAAATTGGTATACAAGGGTTTTTTGGTACGACAAAACGAACCATGGGTATGGTATTACTGTAGCCGCTAGAGGACGCTCTCTACTGTACCTGTAGTGTATTAAAATGACCTAAAACTTTTTCTTAGTGCAATCTTTTGCTTTTTGAATAAAAAAACTGATTCTTCGCACTTTTCAACAAAAAAAAAGCTCTCTTGTGAATGTTCGTTATAGTTAGCCGTTTTTGAGATATTTCGATTTTTAAGGTTCGATGCATTTTTAATTATTTATGATAAATAACGTTGAAAAGTCAGTATCTCGATATTTTTTAGAAGTAGGCTGTGCCTGCAAATATTTTCGAAATTGAAAGCAGAATAAGGTTAAACGTCAATTAGTTGACAGTTAGTTTTGTTTTCTGTTGAAACCTGAAACGTTTTTTTGCAATTGTGAATGCACGAAATTTAGTTTCTTTTACCTGTTTTTTTGTAAGTTTTATAAAAATGCCATTTTTATTCTCCAATCAAGAGTTAGCGGATATTCATTTTGTGTATGGCTTTGTAAATGGAAACGCAGCAGAAGCATCCAGAGAATACGCACGACTCATCCAACTCACACATTTGGAGATCTCCAAGCAGATTTACTCGTATGATTCTGCGTGAGTTTGATAGAGATCCGACCACAAGTGTTAGGAGAGTTTCTGGTGCTTTGGGAATTTCAGCAAGCCATGTTCACCGTGTTCTTAGAAATGACCATAGACGTCCTTACCATTTGCAACCTGTGCAAGGACTACATCCAGGGGACGGAGAACGAAGAATCACATTTTGTCAGTGAATTCTTGATAGAACTGATAATAATAGAGAGTTTTTAAGTAACGTTTTATGGACCGATGAGTCATGCTTCACTAGACGTGGAGTGGTAAATTTTCATAATCAACATATTTGGTCCCATGAAAATCCGCATGCAGTTCGGGAAAGAAATTTTCAGCATGAATTTAGTGTGAACATGTGGATTGGTATCTACCGTAATCGACTATTTGGACCCTACCTTTTGCCTGCAAGGTTAAATGCTGCGACCTTCTTGGAATTTTTAAAGGCTGAAAATGCAAATATGTGGGATGGTGTTATGTTAGATTTAAAAAGGTTGGCCTGGTTCCAGCTTGTTGGTTGTCCAGCTAATTATTCGAGAATAGTTAGAAACTGGCTGGACGAAAATTATCCAGAAAGATGGATCGGCCGTGGGGGACCAGTCACCTGGCCTCCAAAATCCCCTGACCTAAATCCATTAGATTTCTTTGTGTGGGAATTTCTAAAATGAAGAGTGTACCAGACTTACGTAACCACAAGAGATATGCTATTAGACAGAATCAGGAATCCATGTGATGAAATAAGGCCTTATTTGAATAATGCTATACCACGCTCGATCATTCGTAGATGAGAATCGTGTATTGAACAATTGGGTTTACATTTCGAGCAACTACTTTAGATTTTGTATGTTTGTCCTAACTATCCAATAGCATTTTAGTTGTAAATAATTAATTTAATTTGTTAAAAATGATATTGGGAAATTAAACAAATTAATATTCTGTTTTTTTGTGTTTATTTGGAGTTAGGAATTATTGCTGTGTTTAAAAAGACAATCTAAACGATCATCTTAATTACTTGTAATGCCCAAATCGAAAGTGTAAAAAAAAATATTATTTTCCCATAAATAATTAAAAATGCATCGAACCTTAAAAATCAAAATATCTCAAAAACGGCTAACTATAACGAAAACTCACAGGAGAGCTTTTTTATGTGGAAAAATGCGAAGAATCAGTTTTTTTATTCAAAAAGCAAAAAATTGCACTAAGAAAAAATTTTCGGTCATTTTAATACACTACAGGTACAGTAGAGAGCGCCCTCTAGCGGCTACAGTAAAACTATGTCCATGGTTCGTTTTGCTGTACCAAAAGACCCTTGTATACCACTGTTATACATCGAATATTGTTCGAAATATTTAAAAAAAACTATTTTAGAAAGTAAACTTAAACACCCTGTATTTCGGAAGCCACGCATTTTTCGATACATGTTCATATAGACTTTATGCATTAATTTTAAAAGTTCTATCGAATCTTAAAGTTATGCAACAATAAACTGAAACACCCTGTATATGCAGTATTTATGGCATACGTGAGAGAAATATGATAATTCTAATCAATACGGATTTTCCAGGAATTGTTTTTGTTTGAACAGTACAACATCGACCGGATGCTAATTTTATAGGGCATCTCACAGAGGCACTTTTATACAGGGTGATTAATAACGCTGAGCTAATATTTTAGAATTTTGCTTTTCAAAGGCCATTTTATAAACAAACGGTTTGAATTTTCACTACGGGGCTGTTGAATCAATACGTATTAATGGTATAAACAGCTTAGTCGGTAAATTATTCCCAAAAAAAACATAACCTTTTTTAAGCGATTTTAATAAGGAAACAGTATTTTAATCGCATTTATACCACTTACTGAGCATTTTTTGCGATGGTGTATCTTTCCACAACGACCACATATCATCTTCTTGAGCTTGATAAACTCAAACTCATCCTTATCACCATTATCGTCATCTTTCCGTCGTTGATCGCTTTTCCCTCTTTCCAATAACTCCACACACTCACTAACACTGCCTCCTCTACCGTGAAGCTGAGGTATTTCTATGTTTCTGGCACCTTTAATCGACATTTTCTGAAGACACTGGATAGTTTTCAAACTGTCTAGTTCGATTTTTCAGTTACAGGTGGTGAGTTTTATTCCGATTCGTTTCCGGTTGAGTAAATCAAGTGTTACATTCTAAACGTTCTTTTTTTCCGAGCTTAGCGATACTTTACAGGTTTTTGAACATCACAGTCGTATTCCTTAAGCTACCTAAGTGTACAAGATTCATTCGCTTGTAACAAAGAGACAGAAAATGTCCTGAGAAACTTTAAAGTTTAAAATCCCTACTAGTATTATATGCGAAAGTGGTTTATGTTGGTTTGTCCCGTTTTCAGGCCAAAACCTATACGAATAGATTAAGCATCTAAGTTGGACCTAGCCGTTTGTAGGAAAAATAAAGCCTGAAGGTGTTGAAATAAGGGTATGCATCGCTAGGGAGACACTCTTATTATTTTAGCCAGGAATACAAACATATAATATAAAAACCTATATTTGACTCTTTAATATAACGTAAATGAGTACCCACAAAGACGTATTGGAAGTTCCACCCCTAAGGGACGAAGTGGGAGTTAACAGTCTTGAAGCTGGAGAACTGACAATATTTCTATTAAGCTATCCTAGAAATAGGAGTATATCTTGTCTATAATCTTAGAATTTGTATTTTACTGAAGAAGAACGAAAACAGTTTAAAAAACTTGTTCTTGTTCTTTGGATAAATTGAGACAGATTTCGAATCCTATGATGATTTGGTACTAGAGTTAGAGTGTTTCAAGCTCCCTATGTAAATGGCAATTTTGCATAGCACTCAATAATCAAGATGCCTAGATACTCGGTGCTGCTCATTGGTAAGTAGCCTGATCCTACTGTGATGTCAACCTAACATATACTAAGTGACATATAAATCCGAACACCCAGTTTAAATGGTTTTCTTTTAATAAAATTTTGTATAAGTACTTAATGAAGCGTAATAAGTAAATGATAAAAATTTCAATATGATTGCACTGCTTTAAGGCCCTTTGACCTTTAATACTGTGTGGATGCACCCTGATGTGCTACGCATTCTCCAACGCGCCTAGGCATGCTTCTGATCAGCTGGTCAATGTCCTCCTGTGGTATCTCATTCCAGGCAACCACCAACTCCTCTCGAAGTGCTTCTAGAGTCTGAGGAGGACGTTGCAAATTGAGCAATCTCCTACCCATCATATCCCACACGTGCTCAATTGGGGATAAGTCGGGAGATCTTGGTGGCCATGGTAACACACTATGTTGAAAGAAGTCTATTGTGACTCTTACAACATGTGGTCGGGCATTATCTTGTTGGAAAGTTGGATCTGCCAGGGTGTCAAGATAGGGTAAAAGATGGGGTTCTAGAACTGCGTGGATATAACGCTGCGCGTTCATGTTACCTCTGATGAAGATTAAAGGTGACCTGGAACCATAAGCTATAGCACCCCAAACCATAACTCCAACAGTGTGGTGAACATGTCTTTCAACAAAAAACTGAGGATTCCTCCTTTCACCACGTCGCCTTCTAACCCTGGCACGACCATCGTGCGTGCCTAAACAAAATCGAGACTCGACACTAAAGACAATACTGTTCCATTCCTGATCCCAGAGTGACCGTTCTCTGCACCACTCAAGGCGATTACGTCGGTGTTCTCGAGTTAAAGGGAGGACCCAGTGTGGCCGGTATGAAAACAAGCCAAAACTTCTCATTCCTCGGTAAACACTTCGCATGCCAATAGGTCTTCCGAGTTCTGCAAACCATTCATTTGCAATGGACCTGGTAGTGGAGAAACGGTCCCTTAAGGCCAATAATCTTAGGCGGCGAGCTTCACGGTCTGTTGTTCTACGGCGGCGTCCAGTGCCCCTTGCTCTTTGCGTACGGCCTTCTCGAAGCTATGCCTGACAACACCTAACCACAGTGTCGACACTTCTTTGCACTCTAACTGCAATTGCCCGAAAAGAAAGTCCAGCTTCCCCAAGTCCCCCTATCAAACTCACTAAGTTGACGAAATCGTACAGGTCTCCGTACTCTAGGCATCGTAACCGATCGTAAAGGATGTCAAGAACCAAAATCCGCCAACGTTGATTCTTTACTGCGGCTGAAATATTCATTTTTAGAGCGTTAGTGAATTAAAAAAAAGCAGTATAAAAACCGGAATGTCCAACTGATAAGGCTGAAAATTTGTTCACTTGTTATTTACAGTAAGATAAATACATTCACCAACTTTTATTAAAATAAAACCATTTAAACTGGGTGTTCGGATTTATATGTCACTTAGTATAGAATGTGCTTCTAACAAGTGGCTGAGTTCCTGAAGGATACCTTAACTATGAAACATAAGGTCACTACGTTTTGTCCCACATTAGAGTAAAATCGACCGGCACTTAGTTCCGCCCAAAAAAGAAAAAAAAATCGCGCAGCTCAGCAGGAACCGAGCTCCTGACTAATTACGCGGTGTACTGGAGAGCTTTTTTCAGTCGACAGCTTGAATCATGATTGTAATGCTGGATTCTGGATGGAGGTGTGTTGGCATTTACGAGCAGACGTCATCGTCGTAGTGCGGGAGATTACTACATGTTACTATTTTTTATGCAAGGTGCTTCTGGAAGTCTTGCTAATGGTAACCGCTAGAAATCTGTATAGGGTAGGTTTTATTGTTCGTGTTACAGTCTAAGAGACTTATTCATTTATTTTACTTGTTTTTATGTATTTTATTTATCTTATTCATTTTATTCATTTTATGCATTTTATGCGTTTTATTCGTTTCGTTCGTTTCGTTCGTTTCGTTCGTTTCGTTCGTTTCGTTTCGTTCGTTTCGTTCGTTTCGTTCGTTTCGTTCGTTTCGTTCGTTTCGTTCGTTTCGTTCGTTTCGTTCGTTTCGTTCGTTTCGTTCGTTTCGTTCGTTTCGTTCGTTTCGTTCGTTTCGTTCGTTTCGTTCGTTTCGTTCGTTTCGTTCGTTTCGTTCGTTTCGTTCGTTTCGTTCGTTTCGTTCGTTTCGTTCGTTTCGTTCGTTTCGTTCGTTTCGTTCGTTTCGTTCGTTTCGTTCGTTTCGTTCGTTTCGTTCGTTTCGTTCGTTTCGTTCGTTTCGTTCGTTTCGTTCGTTTCGTTCGTTTCGTTCGTTTCGTTCGTTTCGTTCGTTTCGTTCGTTTCGTTCGTTTCGTTCGTTTCGTTCGTTTCGTACAAACATATAATACATACAACAAACGAAGTTGTAAGCACTGTTATTTATAATCTGCATATTATATAAAAATACAATGGTATAATACTCAATTCACTACTTCTAAGGAGTGTTCAACATCCCGTTTTTTGTCAAAAACCATGCTTTAAGTGGCAGGTCAGCTCTTCAGCTCTCTGACAATAACCGTTGCTGTCAATTATACGATACATCTTGTTATCTGCGTAGAGAAGAAATCGGTAATGGCTGAAACATTGCGCGATATCATTTATAATAATTTGTAGTCAAATGTATCATTCAATGAGCTGCTGAATGTATCTGGGAAAACAATGTCAGCTTGATGAAATTACGCAACTGGCGATAGGGAAGTCTATTTGCGAGATGCATTGGATTACGTTGCTATAACCTTTTAGCAGATTGCAGTCAAGGGACTCTCATCGGTCTGTATCGTGCTATATTACCATATACACCAGCTTTATATCCCTGTTTACATTCTTTAGTAAAATATGGAAGTGCAGTGGACTCAGGCAGGCCATACGGGAAGCCGTTTTTGAATAATTTAGTTGCACTTTGTGGCTATAGCGACTCAATATCCCCCGCAAAATTCTTAATGTTACGTATAAATCCTAGTTGTATATGCACTACAAGTAAAAATATGAGAATTTATATACTGTGTACAATACTGACTCTCAGAATGGTAAATTCTGAGCTAGATCAGTATAAAATGCTCATTTGATACTTGTCAATTAGATCCCAGCTTCAACATAACTGTTCAGTGGTTAAATGGTAGAGCTTTTCAATAACCTCTTTCGATTGTTTGCTTGGTCTCCTAATGATTACTGATGATTGGTGAAAAGCTCGAAACAACGTTGTATGCGATTGGTTACGGTGGCAGAGATGATCCCGCTCCCAACAAGAAGCGCCTATTGGCGACGCTCAGTAAGACGTTACCAGCCATAGAAATTCATCGCCATTTAAAAAAATACGTAAAAAATGGCGAATATACAGAAAAATAGCATATAGGTCAACAATTCTAATGGTAAATTCGTTTTATCAAATAAACAATTCCTTGTGCCTGAAAAAATGTGGGAACCTTATTTTTGTAGCTTCTCAAGCTTATCCTGTGGTTTTCATGCTCAATATCCTCCATTTTTGTCTGTCTGTCTTCCTTTGTTATACAGAGTGTCCGCAAAGTTGGGGTTTTCCTTTTCAGAAACAACTACCCTTGAAATAACAAAGGTAATGTGTATTGAAACGAGGGCGACCAAGTAAAAAAAATAAAGGAAAAAGTACTCACTCTCCAGTTGACGAGAAGGGCTAAGTACGTCTCTGCCCGAAATCATACCGCTCCAACAGAAAATGAAATCAGCTGATGCGCTACCGAGCAGACGCAGGGGGTGGTGCAGGCCACGAACAGAGGTAACAAATATGACGGCGTTGCCGCGTTTTCAGCTTTTAGGTAAACGTACTTTATATGTATTGTCCGAAGTTATCGCCGTTTGATTAAAAAGCACAGGTGCGTGCACGACGTAGCCAAGCATCGGTGCAGGCTTTGAGAATGGAGTCCCTCTCCCGAATGAAAGCACCAGCTTGTTCAATTCTGAGACGAAGTTCGTCAACCGTATGCACTTCAGTTTTGTACACTAAGCGTTTCATTTCTCCCCAAAGAAAAAAATCACATGGTGTTCAGTCTGGAGATCGCGGAGGCCACGCTACGGGTCCATTACGTCCGATCCACCTATTCGGAAATAATTCATTCAAAAGCTCACGCACTTCGCGTCTAAAATGGGGTGGTGCACCGTCGTGCAGAAACCACATTGATGGTCTTACACTTAATGGCACATCTTCTAACAAGGAAGGCAAAATGTTGCGTAAAAAGTCTAGGTATTGCATCCCGCCCAATCGATTTGGGAGAATGAATGGTCCAATGAGCATACCGTTCAACATGCCAGCCCAAACATTCACCGAAAATGTTTGTTGAAAATGTGCCCGACGGATAGCGTGCGGATTTTCTACTGACCAAACATGAGTGTTGCGAAAGTTATTCACCCCAAGATCGACAGCATCAAGCGGTCATAGTGCTGACACGGCTGTCGACCCGAAATGAAATATCTTACCAGTACGAATAGCAGCCGTTAATTTTTGCAGAGGTCGATTTTGATAAACTTGCCTTGTCGTATTTTGACAGAAGGAGCGTGTTCACCTTCTATCATCTCTTTTTTAAACAGTTCAATAGAAGTTCTACGTTCAAAAAAAGAGGTACGGGTACTTGACCTTTCTTGTCGCTAACCGACCGTACTACGACAAAGTTTCCGATCTGTTTTCATATGCTGCAATGATCTGTATAAGCAAACACAACGGGTTTATGTATACACACAAAATCAGCATAATAATTCCATCTAAATATAACAGACGGCAGCAACTCGGGGCATTTTTTCAAATTAACAGCTAATTTTAAGAACTACCATCACTATACAACACGTATCAGTGACGTACCCAACAATTTTTACTTCACTACTCAATAGACCGTTTTCGCCAATATAATGGCGAATATATGTGCAATCATATACTGGGTGTCCTAACGAAAATTAAAATAAACTGAAAGGGATATCAAAAATATAGTTTATTACATATTTGATATTATATGACGTACGGTTTCGATTATCAATTGTTAAGATATTCAGTGAATGTCTGAAAAAAGCCCAACTTTGATGGCTCCCAACATATTAAGACGCATCTTGTTTTCTATGTCACGAAGTTATGGAACACCCTGTATTTATTCAAATTATTTTCCAGTGTGCTCATTAAACTGCTTTCCATTTTGGTTGGGACACTCTGTATGTTTTGCAAGTGAGGTGAGACAGCCAAACTGACAAGAAGATGTCAGATCTGTTGTCTGAGTCACTTGTTCAAAAAATCCTATTACATTTAGGCCCAATTTCACCAACATTAATATTATGGACCAATGGGAAAATACCCTATCGAAATGTAATTTGACAGAAGCTGTCAAAGGTCTCTGAATATTAGTGATTTCTATTGAAATATTGAATAAAATCGTGAAAATTCGACTGTATTATAAACAAGACCACTTTTTGATTCCAACATGATGCTTTTGTACAGAAAAAACAGGACAACTTTTATGTATTTTGATATATACTAAGTGACATATAAATCCGAACACCCAGTTTAAATGGTTTTATTTTAATAAAAGTTGGTGAATGTATTTATCTTACTGTAAATAACAAGTGGAAAAATGTTCAGCCTTATCAGTTGGACATTCCGGTTTTTATACTTCTTTTTTTTAATTTACTAACGCTCTAAAAATGAATATTTCAGCCACAGTAAAGAATCAACGTTGGCGGATTTTGGTTCTTGACATCCTTTACGATAGGTTACGATGCCTAGAGTACGGAGACCTGTACGATTTCGTCAACTTAGTGAGTTTGATAGGGTCCGTATAGTGGGACTTCGGGAAGCTGGACTTTCTTTTCAGGCAATTGCAGTTAGAGTGCAAAGAATTGTAGACACTGTGGTTAGGTGTTGTCAGGCATGGCTTCGAGAAGGCCGTACGCAAAGAGCAAGAGGCACTGGACGCCGCCGTAGAACAACAGACCGTGAAGATCGCCGCCTAAGATTATTGGCCTTAAGGGACCGTTTCTCCACTACCAAGTCCATTGCAAATGAATGGTTTGCAGAACACGGAAGACCTATTGGCATGCGAAGTGTTTACCGACGAATGAGAAGTTTTGGCTTGTTTTCATACCGGCCACACTGGGTCCTCCCTTTAACTCGAGAACACCGACGTAATCGCCTTGAGTGGTGCAGACAACGGTCACTCTGGGATCAGGAATGGAACAGTACTGTCTTTAGTGACGAGTCTCGATTTTGTTTAGGCATGCACGATGGTCGTGCCAGGGTTAGAAGGCGACGTGGTGAAAGGAGGAATCCACAGTTTTTTGTTGAAAGACATGTTCATCACACTGTTGGAGTTATGGTTTGGGGTGCTATAGCTTATGGTTCCAGGTCACCTTTAATCTTTATCAGAGGTAACATGAACGCGCAAGCGTTATATCCACGAAGTTCTAGAACCCCATCTTTTACCCTATCTTGACACCCTGGCAGATCCAACTTTCCAACAAGATAATGCCCGACCACATGTTGCAAGAGTCACAATAGACTTCTTTCAACATAATGATGTCACATTGTTACCATGGCCACCAAGATCTCCCGACTTATCCCCAATTGAGCACGTGTGTGATATGATGGGTAGGAGATTGCTCAATTTGCAACGACCTCCTCAGACTCTAGAAGCACTTCGAGAGGAGTT